CGGGTCGGGCAATTCGGGCACACCCAATTTTCGGGCAATTTTCAGGTCGGGCAGTTCGGGCTTGGTCAGAAAAATGCAAAAAAATCCCAGCGGATGGCGGTATACGGTGGTTAGACGGCGGCGGGCAAGGGTGGACATGTCAAATCCGGGCTGCCCGAGCCCGAATCCGAATTTCTTGCTTGGACGGGCGGGAATTGGGCCGGCCCGCCCGAGCCCGAAAAAATTCGGGCTTCGGGCGGCCCGCCGACCCGAAGTTCCAGCACTACTTGTGAACATCACTTTTGGACGTTAATCAAGAGTCAGTACAATTTGGCCACGCAGGCAGCTATGGATACGGATGAGGGTTCATCCTCTGCAGCTTCGACTCAAGAGGACATAGTGGCAGAGGTCCTTGGACAGCGATGAGGATACAAGAAGGGAGTTTGCCTAACGCTGTCTCAGAGGAACATATTTCACATTCTTCAGCACCTGCAACCCAATTATGAGGAGCTCGATAATTGGGTCAAATTCTTCAACATGTCTACAAGCATCTCAACTAAGCCAACATCCATGTCCCTCTCCGGCCCGCCACGTACATTTCGACCACCACCATCGGCCGACGACAACGATGCCGTAGATTTAAGAGCCCATTAGATGTTAGTTATCATTGTTAGAGACAACCTATTTTATTTTAGGGTATTAGATGTAATATGATCAGACATTTCGTTTCATGTTTAGTACGTTATTTGAACTTATAATATCATTACTTATGACTTAGGTTTAGTATTCGCTTTTGTTAATTCATGTGGTATGTGATTATTTGTTATATTAAATTTTATTATTACAAAACATATTTTATTAACCATTTCATATCAAATCTAATTATTAAAATAAACAAGGAAACAAAAAATTTATTCAAAAATAAAAATTATTTAATAAATTTTAAACAAATTAGTTAATAAACTTTTGTCGTCACTATAAATAAAAAAACATTTGAAAATTTTGGAACTTTAAAAACCTTTAGAGATGACAATTTTAAAAAAGTTATCGCTATTAATAACTATAAGCGATGACAATTTTAAATTTTGTCATCGCTATAGATTCAAAAACAAAATCAGGGACGAAATGGACATTTATAGTGACGATATGTTCGTCATTGTATGTGTCTTTTTAGCGACGACTCGTTAGTCATCACTAAATAGGATTTTAATGACAGATTTACAACGATAATTATTTAGTGACGAAATGTCGTCGTTAATTACTTTTTAGCGACGACATTGACACTTTTAGTGCGACAACTAAAAATGAAATTTCTTATAGTGTGTCTATATATATACACGGAATACCTCAAGTCCAGAAAATGTAACTTTTTCGTATTTTTGCGTAACACTGTTCACTTGTGTGTATACACTCCGTTTCCTTAAGTGTAACACTTGATAAAATATATATAGTCTTAACACATGTAACATTGAGTCTATATTTAAACAAACGAATGTTACACACATATATTAATGATGATGTTATACGAGAATATAAAAAAAAATTCCATTAATTTATGGGTGTCGGACTTAAATTTTGCCTATATACATATATGTATTTTTTTTTCTCTAAGAAACTTCAAAAACAATATTACGAGATTATGAACTAATTACTTTACTAATTGTGCAATGGCAAATGCACTATATATTGAGTAATATTACATTGTAGGCCCCTAGTAGTTCTAAAGTTTTGTGAATTTTATGTATTTTTTACCACGCAAATTTTCTTATTATGATTAATAAAAGAAAATTTTATGTATTTATTATTATTTACTCTAAATAGTTTTAAAATATGCGATGTGATTCTAATATCATGTGACTATTAAAAATTATGTTATACCGTATTTTGCATGCCTTCTTATATAATGTTCCTATACTTTTTTAATTATACATAAAATATCTTGTTTTTTTTTATTCGAACGTGGAATCTCTCTCCAAGCCCAGACCAAGAGGTCTTAGGCTAAAATATCTTCTTGTTTTTTTTTTTTTTTTAACATTCGAATGTGGAATCTCTCTCCAAGCCCATACCAAGAGGTCTTAGGCTAAAATATTGCGACAAGTGACAAGACAATTTCGTCCACCTTCCGTAAAAAATGCTTGCAAGAAATATACTCATCAGTCTGATCCAAGGATGAAAATATCTGGAAACGTCGGTGGTCTAATTTTTTAAAAATATCAAAAAAAATATTAATATCGGTGAAAATATTAATAAAATTTACATAAATATAAAAATTTAGATTATAACATATTTTTAAAATTTTTTGATAGCGTAAACATTAAAAAGATACATAAATAAATAAGTTTTACATAAAAAATCTCATATATCTTACATTTCTTAATATTTAAAGGAAGTTTTATGAGGTTCAAATGTGGTCGGAATCCCAGCTTAATTCAAACAATATTTGGTATCATGATATGTTACTTAATAATGTCGAACGTAGTTATGAATATATCACGTGCAGATTTATTGATCTCTCCCCACTATATTTCCATGAATTAGAAATTATGAATTCTCTCGATCGTTTCCATATTCATCATATTTTTAAAATTATTATTATATGGATAATGAATTTAAGGAGTATTGTTGGAATCGCTGTAATAATTGAAACTTAAATTCATCGATTGTAAACTCATAGAAAGATTATCTTCGTCAGTTATTTATATTCTTGATATTCTTAACTCTCTCCTTAGTAAATGAAAAAATAAATAATAAAAAAAACTGATTTATAAGGCAAATTTTTATTAAAAAAAGCAAAAAAAAAAAAAAAAAAAAAACTTTAAAATTTTTGTTTCTAAAATCATAGAAATTTCTATGAAATTTATTGATATTCTACCACAATTATACTATATGTAAATCGATATTAACATTTTAATCGATATTTACTGATATTTTTAATATTTTCTTGATATTTTGCCAACATTAATATTATGGTGGAAAAAAATACGAGAAGCACAAAAATCTGAAATTTCCACCGAAATATCTGAAATTTCGGCGAAATTTTCGTCCATGGTCTATCAACGCATCAATGTCCATCCTTTGACAAGTCAGTCACTATGAAGGTGCATAGCGTATTCCTTACTCTGAGACGTAGTGTGGAAAATTTGCTTTCACTCTCATATCTTTGAAGTTTCATCATTTTCCAAATCTCCTATATAAAGATAGTTTGCGTCTAATCCAATAACACCACAAGATAGAGCACTTTACGAAAAAAAAAAAAAAAAAGTACTATAGTAAAAAAAAAATTAAATAGTACTAGCTAGAAATCATCAAAGATGAGGAGGGAAGGGACGTCGTTATTGGGGGCGATGCTAATGATCATGGTGGCGGTGCTCGTGGCGGCGGCGAGGGGAGAGACGAGTCCAAGCCAGTGCACGCAGGAGAAGGACCAGCTGGTTAACGCGTGCCGGTCGGTGATTTTCGGGCAAAATCCGTCGGCCAATTGCTGCCAACGCATAAGGGTAACTCATGTGGAGTGCGTCTGCCCCTATGTCACCCCAAAGGTTGCTAATCTTATCAACGTCGAACGTACAATCAAGCAAATTCAGGCATGTGGAAGGACCGTCCCCCACAACTTCAAGTGTGGCAGTGAGTGTTACTTCTCTATTAATCACACATTATATATATATATATATATATGATTAATTTTGTGATCGCAATGAGTTTATTTTTATGATTAAACTTCTCATCATTTGCATCTCTTATTTACTTTTTTTTTTTTTTTTTAGAATTTTTGTTTAAAACAAATGGAAAAATATCAGATGATGGCTATACTTGACTCCCTGAAATAACCCCCAAATTAGGAGACACGTGTGATATACATGTATAAGTGGGATATACATGTATAAATGTGTTTGTAAATATATTTATATACACATTAATACGTGATTAATTTGTATGGTTTGTGTGCATCATGAAAAATTTGTGTATGTATCTACTACTACTGACGCACTTTTTCTTCTCTTCGTGTTGAAGCAAAATATTAATTATTATGTGCTCTGCTTCCAAATAACAGGCTCAATCTCCAGATCGTTAAATTGCTGTCATGAGCTGATTGTTATCAGAAATAACATTACAGTACCTTTAAAAGCCTGAGCGGAATAAGACAAGACGATATAATAATTTTTTTGATGGATTAAAGCTCTAATTACAAACAAGAAATCACACATAAAATTTATATGATTCATTCTCACATTTTATAAAAATTACGTTTATTTTCAAATTACTGTAAAAATTTACTATGATGAAGAAGAAAACTACATAAAAATTTTAATGATAATTGTTTTTGAAAAAATTATGTTTTAAATTTCGTAAGAAGATAACTACATATAAAAATTAAAAAAAAATTAAAATTTAAGAGACATTTAGTTCATAAATTAAAATCATGTGATTATAATTATTTTTAATTTACGTATATTTTTTATAAAAAAAAAACACTATAATAAATTATAAACTATAATTTAAATATGATTTAAATTCTCAAATTAAATATCACCGGGGTTTTGAAAATAGTGATTCCCATTACGACTCTATTTGAAGAAATTACCTCATCTATAAAGTAGCTTTCTCATTATCTGAAGTAGGTATCAGACACATCAACATGACATCGCTCTTAAATATAGACCACAACTTTTTCAACCCCATGAAATAGACTTAATAAAGTGAATTTCTCGTCTCCACATGCCATGTGAAAAAAAAAAAAAAAAAAATTTCATGCCTCACTATTTCGTACTCTTTGTACAAGAATTAGGTTCCACAAACTTAACGATTAGTAATGGCACAATATTAGCATAGTTTTGCTTTCCTAAAAAAAATTATATATGTTGTGCTTTATAGCCTGACTTGGATTAGTATTTAAGGATTTGAAAATTTTGTTTTGACCTCAGTTGACTTGTTCAATATTGTCCAAAGTTATTATATATATATTTCAAGTCTTTGCAGCTTATGGTGAATTAATTTTTTTGCAGGTATCACTACTCCATGAGAGAATATATAAGGGGCAATGATATATATATATATATATATATATATAAAGACTTCTATCATTTGCGCATATCGAATAAGATGTCTCTTTATTTCCTTAATTTAGATAATTGTTGTTTTTATTATGTCATGTCATTAGCGTGATGTATTAAAAGAGAGATGTTCATGCTTTACTTAAAAATAAAAACTTAAGCGTTGACTCGGTCCACGAAACACGGGGATATGGTTTGGAATAGTGTTTGGTTTCTATTTCTTTTTTTTTTTTTTTTTTAAGTATGAAAACCACTCTATTCGTAAAAGTCCCACCATATAGGCGACTTAGCTTCTCACAAATGACAAGTCATGACACATAACAACTTGGTCACTTCAGAGACTTTTGAAAGATCTGCACCATTTTTCTTTTTTTTTTATTATTATTATTTTTTTATGGATCAGTGTATTTGGAAAAACCAAACTTTAATTAACCACGACTATCAACGACGTCCAGTCCGTAACAAATTTTAAAAGAAAAAAAAGGGAACAATGATAACTTTTTAATCCAAATTTTATTTTTTATTGAATCATTTATAGCATTTTTATTTAAGTAATTCAAAAATTTAGTACAAAATTAGGAGTGATAATTCGTGTCACGTGTCGTGTTCGTGTCGTGTTTTGATCGTTTCTTTTTAAATTTGTAATCAACCCAAACACGACCCGTGACACGAAATTTTTTAAAAACCGCAATACGATCACTTTACGAGTTGACATGACGCGACCCGAAAATGACCCGTAACACCAAATTGACCCGTGAACCCGAAATTGACACGAAAATTGTTTACTTTTATTTAGTTTTTTACATATTAAAAATAACTTAAAATTCATAACACATTAAATTACAATAACATCCATTAAAATTAAGCAAATAATAGTATAAGATTTTGAGTATAACTATCATGATATCACAAGTTCATAATAAATTTTAAAATATGAAATGAAAAATATATGTATTTTTTAATTTTTTACGAGTTTCGTGTCGTGTTCGGGTTAGGCGGGTTCAACTCGAAATTGACCCGTGTTTTTCGTGTTAATTTCAAGTCGACCCAATTCTGACCCGAACATCTTTTTTCTCAATGCTAACCCGCAAAATTCGTATCGTTTTCGAGTCGTATCGTCGTGTTGTGACCCATATTGCCAGTCCTACACAAAACCGTGTAAAAAGAGATAAAATTAAACTACAAATAAGCCCAAAATTAATAAATAAATATAAATATAATAATTAATTAATAAAATCAGAAATTTTTTGTGACCGTCGGGGATCAAAAGTATGGACAAATCAAATGGTCTCATTTTTACTTAGTGCTGGAACTTCGGGTCGGCGGGCCGCCCGAAGCCCGAATTTTTTCGGGCTCGGGCAGCCCGGATTTGACATGTCCACCCTTGCCCGCCGCCGTCTAACCACCGTATACCGCCGTCCGCCGGGATTTTTTTGCATTTTTCTGACCAAGCCCGAACTGCCCGACCCGAAAATTGCCCGAAAATTGGGTGTGCCCGAATTGCCCGACCCGAAGCCCGAATTTTTGAATTTTGCCTGAAGTTTTCCCGCCTGCCCGACTTGCCCGACCCGCCCGAGGTGCCCGAATTACCCGAATACCCGAAAACGCCTGGGTTTTTGAATTTTTACCCGAATTCGGCCCGAAAACCCGAGCTGCCCGAGTTTACCCGACTGCCCGAACCCGAATTTCTTGCTTGGACGGGCGGGAATTGGGCCGGCCTGCCCGAGCCCGAACCCGACCCGCCCGAGGTGCCCGAATTACCCGAATACCCGAAAACGCCTGGGTTTTTGAATTTTTACCCGAATTCGGCCCGAAAACCCGAGCTGCCCGAGTTTACCCGACTGCCCGAACCCGAATTTCTTGCTTGGACGGGCGGGAATTGGGCCGGCCTGCCCGAGCCCGAACCCGACCCGCCCGAGGTGCCCGAATTACCCGAATACCCGAAAACGCCTGGGTTTTTGAATTTTTACCCGAATTCGGCCCGAAAACCCGAGCTGCCCGAGTTTACCCGACTGCCCGAACCCGAATTTCTTGCTTGGACGGGCGGGAATTGGGCCGGCCTGCCCGAGCCCGAACCCGACCCGCCCGAGGTGCCCGAATTACCCGAATACCCGAAAACGCCTGGGTTTTTGAATTTTTACCCGAATTCGGCCCGAAAACCCGAGCTGCCCGAGTTTACCCGACTGCCCGAACCCGAATTTCTTGCTTGGACGGGCGGGAATTGGGCCGGCCTGCCCGAGCCCGAACCCGACCCGCCCGAGGTGCCCGAATTACCCGAATACCCGAAAACGCCTGGGTTTTTGAATTTTTACCCGAATTCGGCCCGAAAACCCGAGCTGCCCGAGTTTACCCGACTGCCCGAACCCGAATTTCTTGCTTGGACGGGCGGGAATTGGGCCGGCCTGCCCGAGCCCGAACCCGACCCGCCCGAGGTGCCCGAATTACCCGAATACCCGAAAACGCCTGGGTTTTTGAATTTTTACCCGAATTCGGCCCGAAAACCCGAGCTGCCCGAGTTTACCCGACTGCCCGAACCCGAATTTCTTGCTTGGACGGGCGGGAATTGGGCCGGCCTGCCCGAGCCCGAACCCGACCCGCCCGAGGTGCCCGAATTACCCGAATACCCGAAAACGCCTGGGTTTTTGAATTTTTACCCGAATTCGGCCCGAAAACCCGAGCTGCCCGAGTTTACCCGACTGCCCGAACCCGAATTTCTTGCTTGGACGGGCGGGAATTGGGCCGGCCTGCCCGAGCCCGAACCCGACCCGCCCGAGGTGCCCGAATTACCCGAATACCCGAAAACGCCTGGGTTTTTGAATTTTTACCCGAATTCGGCCCGAAAACCCGAGCTGCCCGAGTTTACCCGACTGCCCGAACCCGAATTTCTTGCTTGGACGGGCGGGAATTGGGCCGGCCTGCCCGAGCCCGAACCCGACCCGCCCGAGGTGCCCGAATTACCCGAATACCCGAAAACGCCTGGGTTTTTGAATTTTTACCCGAATTCGGCCCGAAAACCCGAGCTGCCCGAGTTTACCCGACTGCCCGAACCCGAATTTCTTGCTTGGACGGGCGGGAATTGGGCCGGCCTGCCCGAGCCCGAACCCGACCCGCCCGAGGTGCCCGAATTACCCGAATACCCGAAAACGCCTGGGTTTTTGAATTTTTACCCGAATTCGGCCCGAAAACCCGAGCTGCCCGAGTTTACCCGACTGCCCGAACCCGAATTTCTTGCTTGGACGGGCGGGAATTGGGCCGGCCTGCCCGAGCCCGAACCCGACCCGCCCGAGGTGCCCGAATTACCCGAATACCCGAAAACGCCTGGGTTTTTGAATTTTTACCCGAATTCGGCCCGAAAACCCGAGCTGCCCGAGTTTACCCGACTGCCCGAACCCGAATTTCTTGCTTGGACGGGCGGGAATTGGGCCGGCCTGCCCGAGCCCGAACCCGACCCGCCCGAGGTGCCCGAATTACCCGAATACCCGAAAACGCCTGGGTTTTTGAATTTTTACCCGAATTCGGCCCGAAAACCCGAGCTGCCCGAGTTTACCCGACTGCCCGAACCCGAATTTCTTGCTTGGACGGGCGGGAATTGGGCCGGCCTGCCCGAGCCCGAACCCGACCCGCCCGAGGTGCCCGAATTACCCGAATACCCGAAAACGCCTGGGTTTTTGAATTTTTACCCGAATTCGGCCCGAAAACCCGAGCTGCCCGAGTTTACCCGACTGCCCGAACCCGAATTTCTTGCTTGGACGGGCGGGAATTGGGCCGGCCTGCCCGAGCCCGAACCCGACCCGCCCGAGGTGCCCGAATTACCCGAATACCCGAAAACGCCTGGGTTTTTGAATTTTTACCCGAATTCGGCCCGAAAACCCGAGCTGCCCGAGTTTACCCGACTGCCCGAACCCGAATTTCTTGCTTGGACGGGCGGGAATTGGGCCGGCCTGCCCGAGCCCGAACCCGACCCGCCCGAGGTGCCCGAATTACCCGAATACCCGAAAACGCCTGGGTTTTTGAATTTTTACCCGAATTCGGCCCGAAAACCCGAGCTGCCCGAGTTTACCCGACTGCCCGAACCCGAATTTCTTGCTTGGACGGGCGGGAATTGGGCCGGCCTGCCCGAGCCCGAACCCGACCCGCCCGAGGTGCCCGAATTACCCGAATACCCGAAAACGCCTGGGTTTTTGAATTTTTACCCGAATTCGGCCCGAAAACCCGAGCTGCCCGAGTTTACCCGACTGCCCGAACCCGAATTTCTTGCTTGGACGGGCGGGAATTGGGCCGGCCTGCCCGAGCCCGAACCCGACCCGCCCGAGGTGCCCGAATTACCCGAATACCCGAAAACGCCTGGGTTTTTGAATTTTTACCCGAATTCGGCCCGAAAACCCGAGCTGCCCGAGTTTACCCGACTGCCCGAACCCGAATTTCTTGCTTGGACGGGCGGGAATTGGGCCGGCCTGCCCGAGCCCGAACCCGACCCGCCCGAGGTGCCCGAATTACCCGAATACCCGAAAACGCCTGGGTTTTTGAATTTTTACCCGAATTCGGCCCGAAAACCCGAGCTGCCCGAGTTTACCCGACTGCCCGAACCCGAATTTCAAAAAACTAGCCGTTTTCGGGCAAATCGGGCAATTCGGGCGGGCTCGGGCCGCCCGGCCGGGCTCGGGCCGCTGAATACAAGCCCGCGGCCCGTTCAAGGTGAAATTTGGGCTCGGGCGGGTCGGGTTCGGGCTCGGGCAAATCCTCGGGTTTTTCGGGCGGTCGCGGGCGGCCCGTCCAAAGTTCCAGCACTATAATTTTACTCTCTCTTTCTCTCTCTTTTCCCAGGCGGGACACACCACTCCCTCTCTCTCACTCTTTCTCTCTTTCTCAGGCAGTTCTCTCTCTCTCTCTTCCCAGCAGCCTAACCACCCCCTCTCTCTCTTTCAAACTTTCCCACGCAGCTCTCTCTCTATTGGCGCAAAAGGAGGTGCCAGAAAAAAAAAAAAAAAAAAAAAAAAAAAAAAAAAAGAAGCAACGTGGCTTATTTTGGAAGGAGAAATGGACAAACGTTTCGTCCGCCCCACCCTACCCTAAAAACGGGTTCTTCTTTAGTAGGATGTTAAAGATTATAGAGATGTTAATTGGGTCAGACGGCCCCATCAAGCACGATGGCACAAAACAAAAATTTTTAAGCCAGGCACAGAATGACACGAGAATATAATGGGTCGGGTTAAGCACGATACGAGGTGGTGGGCCATGTCGAGCTCATAATTTTTGGCACGTGGATTTGGCATGACAAGGCACGACGATAAGTATAAGTACGAACACGACACTAGCATGGCACGACCCATTGAGCATGATCGGCCGACACAGCAAATATAATTTTTTTATTGATAAATTTACGGTATTGTTACAATTTTTTTTTCTTTTTGCTTTTTTTTCCTTAGTAATATCATATGAAATTATATTCTTATTTGAATTAATTTTTATTTAAAACTGTTCAAAAAAATAATTTTAAACGACTCAATGGTTCAATAAGTCAGCTTAAAAATTCATTATGCTAAACACGATAAAGGCATGAACACAGCAAGAGCACGAGCACATATGGCCTAGGCCCATGGGTCAGGTCGGGCCTATGATTTTTAATCTTGGGTTGTCACGAGCACGACACAAAGTTTCGGTGGGCCAAACCAAACACAGCACGAAGCACTCATGAGTCTAACTAATTATGGGCCGGACCGACACGATATGGTACGATTGACATCTCGCGGGGATGATCAGGATTACATGTGAAAAGACAACAAATTTATTTATCATTTAAGAGTACTTTTGTGCAGAAATATATGCGCACATCTTACACACGTGCGCGCGCACACACTCGCACTCACGTATCTAGAGTACTATTCTTAAATAAATAAATAAATAAACAATAACAACAACTTGGCTATAAGGTTTAAAAGTGATCAGAATTTGAAGACCAAAAGGTGACTGGTCCGTCATAGACTCGTATTATTTCTTAGAATTTAACGCATCACAGGCTGGATAAAATTAAGAAGCACACAGGCTGGATTGTATAAAAACACATAATTACTACACATAATTACGATCTTGCCAGTACTTTTCAATTCCATACGTCCAATTTAATTCGTCTTTCTTCACAACAAATTCCTGTACTATCTCCGTCCCAAACAAATTTCACTTTTCCTTCCCCAAAAAACCAGGGGAAAAGAAATAGCACAGCCATTATTATTGGAAAAAAAACAATCATTAGATGTTTCAAGGTTTTTCCACAACAACAGATCTGAACCACAAAGAAGAAACTAAAAACACCCGAGAAACTCTCTAAGTCCCACATTTTTCAACACACATCTCTAGCATATAAAAATGCACTATATCATGTCCTTTCCCCATCCCAAAAATACACTACGCAATCATATTCCTATTACCATAGAGGGAAACGACAAAAATATAGAAATAATCAAGTTGTAAAAATAGGAAGTATGGCCGTACAAGCGGCTCTATTGACGATCCTCGTCGCCACCGCCACCGTCGTATTGGCAAACGGCGACGTTCCAATCCCGGAGAATGAGGCTCAAGTGAACACGTGGTTTAACCAGAATATTAGGCCGTTTGGAGAGAGGAAGGGCACGCTAGACCCGAACCTGGTGAAGGCCGAGGAAGGCGTTAAGATCATTAGGGTTAGGAAAGACGGCAGCGAAGATTTCAAGAAGATCGCCGACGCCATCAAGACCATCCCCGCCTGGAACACCAAGCGTGTCATCATCGATATAGGACCCGGAGAGTACCATGAGAAGGTGTTGATAGACTACAATCAGCCCTACGTTAGCCTTGTGGGCTCATCGCCTAAAGACCGGCCAACCATTACTTATGGCGCCACGGCGAAACAGTATGGGACGGTGGATAGCGCCACCGTCATTGTCTTGGCACCCTACTTCGTCGCCGCTAATCTTATCTTTAAGGTACGTACTTTAATCTTGATTAGTATTTGAGTACACTTGTCGTTAATTATCAAGTGACTACCAATATATTAAACATAGTACTACTTGTATGTATGTGTATGAACGTTGTTAGTATTTTTTTGAATCCAAACTTAGGAGGGTTAAACAGAGAGGAGATTTTATTTTGTTTTATGGATATTTACATGGTTAGTTTTTCTTTTCTTTTTATTTATTTATTGGGCAGAATTCTGCACCAAGGCCGGATCCATACAAAAAGGATGGTCAGGCATTGGCGTTTAGGATAAACGGGGACAAGGCAGCCTTCTTCAACAGCAAATTTATCGGATTTCAGGACACGTTATGTGATGACAGGGGATATCACTTCTTCAAGGATTGCTACATTGAGGGCACTGTTGATTTCATCTTCGGCAGGGGAACATCTCTTTATTTGGTACACACACACATATATATATATATATATATAGACATTGTTCATATATCGGCCGATACATGAATAGACCTCACACACACACAAAAAAACTGTATATATACACTACCTCTATCTGTCAATATATCTATGTGTTCACATATATACAGCCCAAAATGACAGTAAAAAAATGATCTCAGCTCGTGAAACAAAATGTCGCCTAATTTAGCTGAAGAAATGTTCCCTGCTGGATATTTTCTTTAATGGTTAACTTGAGCTGCATGATACATTCGAAAATAAAATAAGAATACCAGTTATTGTTATTATTATTATTATAATACGGTTTTCGTTACATGTGTTATTGGTTTTGTGGGGATGCAGAACGCAGATTTATTTGTGATTGGTGACAAAGGACTGACAGTGATCACAGCTCAAGGAAGGGGCGATAGAGTTAGCACTGGATACTCATTTGTGCACAGTAGAATAGAGGGAACCGGCAATTCCACCACTTTCTTGGGCAGGCCTTGGGGTGACAAGACTAAAGTCGTTTACACCTACACTTACATGAGCAATGTCATCCAACCCGGCGGATGGAGCGACAATTCCCAAACGTCAAAGTAAGCCGACCAATAGTTTTTTCCTTAAAAAATGCTTGGTAGCACCATTATTATTAAACACCGTCAGTAATAGAACACATCCTTCACCATCCGTGTCAAATGAGGTTGTTCTAGTTTTTGTATTAATTATTTTGTGGTAATTTGTATTGTTATTGTACGTGATATGAAATGTTACTTTTGCAGGAATTTTTACTATGGAGAGTACAAGAGTGTTGGACCAGGTTCAAGCAAGGGTAAGAGAGCAAAATTCTCCAAGCAGCTGACCTTTGACCAAGTGAAGCCTTTCATCACACTTGGCTACATCAAGGCTTCTACCTGGTTGCTCCCTGCACCTAAACCATTATAATTAAATTTAAAAGTGCAAATAATTATCATTATTTGTCAAAAATATTCATTTGATTAAATGGTATAATTATGAAATTGTTTATACCTTTTGCTCCTTATTTACATCGAAATGTAGAAGAGAGACTTTAATTTGCTTTATCGAAGATGGCTGATTAATTGGCATTTTTGTGTATAACATAATTCGGTTGTAGAATAACTTCTAGTTTCATATTAATTAGTCCATACAAAGGCTTTATTTTTGTTGCTAATTTAGGAATATTAAATATAAGGGACTCTAAATTTGGTAAATGGTAATGCTATCCAAAAGATAATAAGCGTAATTAACTTTTAAAGATCAAAGATGTCCTTAATTTCTTACCATGCTTTTTAGAAAAAAGACGTCACGAAGGTGGAGCTTTTGTCTTCCACAACCCAAAAGCCTTAAATTAAAAAAGAAAAAAAGAAAATGCAAATGGCCATTTTTATCTTTCGGCTGAAAACTAAAGTTAAAATTTTCTGTAAAAGAATTTGATAACTAATTTAATTAAAAAATGATATTAATATCATTATAATTACCCCAACTAACCCATTTAAAAGAAAAATTACCACAACTTTGCAATAATGATCTTATCCATGTATGATGAACACTTTAATCTTACTATAATGATCGCTATTCATTAATGTGTACATTATTGTTTGAGAAAATTTTATATTGATACTGTGTGTTTTTTCGTTTTTTAATATTTTATTTTTTATAGTTTTAAATTAATACCTTAACGTTTTAAGAAATCATTTTTAATACCCTCAAGCTTTTTTTTGACGTAAAATATCATTTCTGCCATCATACTTAATTTGCCAACAATGTGTTTTTTCAAAATAGATTAAAAATATTTAAAATCATATCAGAAAGCATTTTTCAAGATAAATTTTTATTTTTAAAACAAAATAAAAATTGGGTTGAAATAACATTTTAAAAATATTTAAATTCTTAAAAAACTAATTAAGAGAATGGAAATGACATTTTACATCCCAAAAGGGGCCTTAGAGTACTGAAAAATTATTTACTCCTTTTTGCCCTCATATTCGCTTAATTTAAGACGTGATCAGGGTCAAAGATTCACCGGGGGAAAAATTCCTATACTCTACCCATTTACCCATTAAAAAATAAGAGTTTAAAAAAATTATAATATTATTATACTCAAAGCAAATTTCATTAAACTTATTATAAATGTAGCAATATAACCATTAATATCTTATAAATATATATCTCATTTAATATTTCCAATCTTTTATAATTACTAATAATTATATATCTCATTTAGGATTTTTTAATAAAATATAGCGCACACATATAAAACATGTATTACATAAAAGTGCATATTATTGAAAAAACGGCAACGAGTGCGCAGCGGAATTTTAAAATTTTTAATAAATGCCAAAGCCAACCAAGAACATGCTCATGATGCTATATAACATAAATACCAAATATCTAAATCACACGTTTAGAGATTACGAAAACAACACGTCTGACAGATCAAAGTGCTCTAAACAGTAACCAGAAAAGCCTCAACCAACTAGTCTTCTTTGTTATTCTTGTTTCCACGGTCGGAGTAGGAGTTGGCACACGTCGTTTAATCTCCTCTTAGTATTCTTGAACTCCTTCCAACCACAAGAGAGCCAAAGAAAAAATCATTTTTGAGAAGTAAACAATTTTTCCTCTCATGAACCCTTACCAATAGCCCCCAAAACGTCTCTCAAGTTATCTAATGAATAATATGACTTACTAGGCTATTTATATAGTTTAGGAAGTCATATTCCCGTAATAATTAGGTTTTCCAAAGTCAATCTCGCGTACAGAGTCAGTTTTGCCACGTCATAGCGTGTCAGCACACCTCCACCAGTCAACTGGTATGGACAGAGTAAAACTCCATTGGTCGACTGGTCACTGTTACAGGAAACTTGTTTTCCAAGTCATTTAATATGAGAAACTTGCACAGAGCCTTAGTTTTGATTTAGCTAACCAAATATAGAAGTTGTTTGATCAAAACAGTTATATATTAGTCTTTCCATATTAAATAAAACCCAAAACAATAATTCAACCAATTTATCTAGAATTAATCTATCAATTAATTCACCTTGATAAATTACTCATGAATTAGCAACCAATCTCACATTGATTTTAAACCTTTTTACGCAAATAACACAAGTTACCAATATGTAAGAAATACGTCATATCGTTACTGGAAATTATGTGAGTTAGCAAAGGGACCTGATGGACATATATAAATCAAGATCCTATAATCACAACAACACTCGTAAACCAACAAGTCCATCTCATGATTATAAACTCTAGTGTTATTCCACTAAAAGCGTAGAGCTGCACTCTCGATTCATATAGTATATTTACAAAGCTCTGAATAGCTCTTGTCCACAACTCATTATATTAGTGTATTATCCCCTTAGGATATCCATAATTGACTTAAGGTCAAGTTCCGCTTTACCTTCACGGTTATATTTATCTTATGTTCTATTACCACTCATTCAGAAAACCATTATTCATACCAATACAAATAGTAAACCATTAGATAACACAAAGTAGTCTAATGGTCGTGCACTCGTATTTTTTAATCCACGGGTAATGACATAAGAGGATATGATTGACTCTTTATAGGAGTTAAGGATTCCCTATTTATGAATAATAAATCTACTCACACAAGAGTCATACATCTAACATACCGGTAAACGTACCTTTACATAATGTCAGGATGTCCCCCTTTGGCACATCAAAGGATACAAGTCAAGCATACGGGTTTATTATTCATCTCAAGATTAAGATGACCACATATATTTGTCAAAAGTGAATGGTTTTATTCAAACCGAATTATTAATTAAAATAATTTAACTTTGGTCCGATCCAATATAAATTTTACCATTAGGAATTATATCAATGTCTCTACCCATGGAGTCCCACCTCCGATGACCAAAACAAGTCGTCTCCGTTAGGAACTAGACAACATAACAATCTTAACATGAATAAAGCATCAAACTTTATTCCTTTGATTACGGGTCATATTCTTTAGACTATCATCTTTAGATTCATGCCTGCTGCATGTTCTTCTCATTACATGCACGATCTAAATACTTAGAACGACAGTCTCAGACTTCTAGTTTACTTATCATACATTCAACTAATATGAACATAACGAGGACATACAAAGATATATGAAATTAAACAAATCTTTATTAGTAGTCAAAATGTCTCAAAATACATTCTTCAATTTATTCCTAAGGGCATAAACGCTAATGCATATAATCGGGCGGGGTCGGAAACATGGGAGCTTCCCCTACTCCCACCCCGCTTCTGACTCAAAGGTTAATTTTAACCCCTATACCCGCCCCCATCTCTATATAGCATCCCCTATACACGCCCTATTAGGAACGGGTACCCATACCGTCAAGTAAAATTGCCAGCCCTAATAATTTTTAATTTGGTTGACCCAGCTTTACTCTCTATTAAACATTTTAAAAAGACCTTATCCTCATAACCAAACATCATTTTTGCCTTTACAAATCTTCAAAAATTAAATTTGAGTTTACTAAATTCGAAATTACTAAAAAGAGTAAATTTGATATTTCACATTCCAAAAGAGGGCCTCAGGATATCAAAAATCAATTTATTGAAAGGTAGAGTAGTGTTGTCAATTAGGCATGAGCGACCCGGCCCGTCCCGCTACAGTGTTGGGCCCAATACGGCCCGGCCCTGTACTATGAAGGGTCGGGCCCAGTCCCGGCATATCTTGTGGGCTAGGGTTGAGCCACAACTGCTGGTTCCCGAATCGAATTCGGGTGCGGAAGCATGGTAGGAAAACAGCGGATCGTGTATAACAAAAATTTTCATAAAACTTTTGAGATACTCTATAGATTATATTAATTTATGCACAAATAAATTAATCACATTAATTTACATCATTCAAGGATCAACCGAAAAATACCTGGAAGCCGACTCGGATGATAACTTAAATTTCTTTGACCACGAACAGTCCTTGCTCCAAGCTTTGTGTTTAGAATACCAAAGTCTTCCACGTCAATTCCTTGATTCCACGTAGACGTGTGTGTGGGCACACGTGAGACAAAATAGGTTTCTCAAACACTCGAATTTCCACAAACACCAACGCATGCACGATGTGGAATTTTTGGAGAAAAATATTTTTGCACTCTTTTTTCCTCTATGAGACTTTCGGCCACCACTCTAATTAGGGCTGAATATTTGTTTCAAAATTATTTCTACAATTTTCTATCTTTCTCATATTTAAAGAGTAGAAGTCAAACTTCAAAATAGAATCAAATCCTTATCTCCAATTTTGAATTTGGAACAAAAAATCCCTTCCCCTTATCCACTTAATGGCCGGCCACCCTCCTAGGGTTTATCCCTATGTGTGGCGCCAATCTCAGATAGGGAAGGAAGAGATTTTATCCTTTATCCAGTAGTCCAATTTTAATTCAGATTCAAATTCGAATTTAAGTCAAACTTAAATTAATTTGAATTCTAAATTGAACAACTTATCAAATAAGTTTAAATGGATAAATCTAGATGTGTTCAAATTCAAATTTAAATAATCATATTATTTAAATAATAATTAATTCTCAATTAATTATTTTTTGAGTATTTAATTTTATAATTCCGTAATTCTAAAATTCCCATTTTGCCTTTTGTGTCTGGTAAAATTACAAGGACGACGCGGTGACTAATGGACCTATAATTCTGAGCTCCAATAAAATTAATAATTAATTAAACACTTTAATTAATTTATTAATTCTATTAATTCCAATAGTTACTCCACTATAAACTTGGAATTGAACTCTCGAAATTATAGACATTAATTACTTTTAAACTGCGAAGTGTCCATTTGATATAGTCATTACATATAGATCAGTCCTCCATAAATAATTCATAATTAGAGTCAGGTAGAATCCGTTAACCTCTCTAATTACATCTTTATCCTTGAGTACCATTGATTCTCTAATGGATAGTGATTCATAAAACACATTCATGAACCATAGCGCTCTTACTAATCCAAGTACCGAATCAACACTCAAGAGAATTATTTATCTGCTTCTTTCTCAAGAAGGAATGGATTCCATCTCGTATAATAATATTCCCAGCTACCTATTTCATTATGTCTCCAAAATACAAGGAATAGGATTCAGGGTCTCGGAATCCGTACTGAGTAAATCAAAAGACATAAATCCATAAATAGGAGTTTGTTAAGAACTCAGGATTAAGATCATCCTATATATGACCATCGGTAGACTCAATTAGAATTTCTATGCTTAACGGAAATTATTAGAAATTCATATTGTGTCTGCGTCCATGTTCCACATAATCTCATTATGCGAAATACACTCATTCAATATCTCGCCATATTAACAGTGCGGATAACACCATTCCATTCTAAATGGAAATGACATGTATTAATAATGTTTTAATTAAAGATTCTGAACTTTAATTAAATTCATTATGAACAATTACTTTTGATTATTATCCTTAAACATTATCCTCTCGTATACAACACTTATACACCATGTTTAAGGTTACATAAATAATCAAGGAATTTTATTTGATATTCATAAAATATTCATAAATATATGCACATAAAATGATGAATAAACTCTTTTATTAAATAAATAATAAATATCCTTTTACATCTCATGCTTCTAGGACACTATTCCTAACAACAACTCCCTAACCTACAGCCTTGGCACGGCCCTGGCCTGTGCGAGGCACTGGCCCGCCGCGTGTCCAACGATCACACTGAGCCCGGCATGCGGCCTGACACGTCAAGGGCCTAACGGTTGGAAACGGCTAGTCCGGCCTGGTCCATGACGTGCCTAATGGCTATAAACCAAAAATCCTCCCAAAAATTCCTATAACTACCTCACCTCACTCACAAAATTCTTCACACTTCTACCTCTCTTTCAACTATCATAACTCTATCTCCCATATCCTCTATCTGATTCTTATTTTTCTCTTTCATTTCCTAAGTTTCTCTTATCTGTTTCATTTACAATTTTCAATCAAATTCTGCTACATCCCGAAAAATAAAGGTATTGAATCTTGGTTCTCATTATTTTTGGTATAAATATTTTGTTTCTATTTAATATTTACTTACATTCTTTATTATTTATAAACCTTGTTGTTAACATGAATTTATGTTTCTTTACAGAAAATGGCGGAAGGAAATTTTCTTGATTTCCCTGATCTTGGAGATCAACCATTTTACGAGGATGAAATGTTGATGCACAACTCCAACCCCACTAAACCGGATAATGTTCTGGTTGATAATCAATCGGTACACAACGAGGAAGTTGGAGAACGTGCCAGGGAAAAAAGACCCCGAACTGATTGCACCGAAGAGCTACGACCTAATCCAAAATTAGGTGAAGTTGAAATGCGTGCGGTATGTAAGTATTGTAAAAAAAATACTTTTCTAACAAAAAAGGTGGGGGTACTAGCCATCTTAATAGACATTGAAAAGCATGTCTACCATTACACCAAGGTGGTAATGTGGACTCCCGTCAACAAACACTGTCACTCACATCACAAGGTTTACAAAATTTTACATATGATGCACAACGTGCTCGTGAGGCACTAGCTAAATTTGTAGCTAGTGCCGAATTACCTTTTTCTTTTACAGATGATTCGGCATTTGAAGAATTCTTTCAAACGGCCTTTTGTCCACAATTTTAACGGGTAAGTGAAACACAACTCGAGCTGATTATATGAAAGCTTTTTATGTAATGAGACAATCTCTGGTTGATAATTTTAAGTATTTCAATGCTTCAGTCTCTTGTACTTCTAATCTTTGGGAGGGGTGCAATAAAATTAGTTATTTATGCGTCACGGCGCATTATGTTGACGGGATTTGGCTTTTACATAAGCGAATAATTGGTTTTTGTTTATGTTCATCTTCACATAACGCAAATGCTATTTTTTCAACTATAATGGAAATTTTTAATTTTTTTGGGATTGAAGATAAAGTTTTAACAATTACTTTTGATAATGCATCAACTAACACAACTGTTATTAACATGTTTAAAGCTAATTTGAAACCAACTTTTGGTGGCGAATTTTTCATCAACGGTAGGCATGTCATATAATAAATTTAGTAGTATAAGTAGGTGTTGAATCTATTTCCCTTCAATAAAATCACATATTTTGGGGGGCATATGATATATTTCCTTTTATTTATTAAATATTACAGTAAATATTAAAATGGCAAGGACTGGCCCGTGAAGGCCTAGGCCTGGGCCCGGCCCTGGCCTTTATGGACAAGGGCTTGGGTCAGGGCTGGGCCTAAGAGTCTTTCTTCAGGCTCGGTCCAAGCACGACCCTGAATTGTTCAGGGTCATGCCTGGCCCGTGATGGGCCTGGGGTGAGATGTGTCATGTCGGTCTGACACGGCCCGTTTAACAACTCTAAGGTAGAGATATCGAACTCAAAATTATTAAAAACGCACGGTATAACAAAAAAAAAACAATTTCACTATAAGCTATGGTACCTAATTGAAATTAACCCAATGAACAATTTCTACTGTAATTTTTATATTAAAAAATAAAAAGAAGAAAAAAGATGAGTGGCGCTGTGTAAGGCTATAGGTGCATGATGACGTGTCACCTCACCCCAGCCACCAGTAATAACAAATTATCACCAAAATATGATCAAATAATCCAATCCAAACACAGCCTAAAAGCCAATAGCCATGGCCACCACCCACCTAGCCTTCCCTCTTCGTCTTCCCAACCTATCCGCCGCTCCGTACCATCATCAACCGCCACCCACCGAGTCGCTCCCCGTTTCGACTCGGGCCCGACTCGGGCTGAGGAATCTCAGCACCGCCGTTCGGTCTCTGGGCACCGACATGCTGGGCGATTTTGGGGCCAGAGACCCTTTTCCGGCGGAGATAGAAAGCAAGTTCGGAGAGAAGGTTCTGGGCAACGTCGACACGGAGCACAAGATCCTCATACCTAATTTGGCCGCTCTCTCTCTTGCCCAGCAAAGCTGCCAGCCCATCTCTCCTCTGCTCCCGCCCATGTCCGAGGACGATGCCACCAAGCTCCTCAAGAAGGTGATTTTCTTTTGTTCTTTTATTTTTTTTGGTGTGTAGATATAGTGTTCGATGAAATTACTGAATGGGAATGGCATGTATATTTTTTGTTGGCTTTGGGTTGAGCTGCAAAAAGTCTAGGGATTTTTTGGTTTTGCGTTGAAGAGTTGAGGGAAGTTTGAGTTTTTGCATTGTTGAATTGTAAAATTTTGTTTTGTGGGCAATGAAAAATTGGTTTATCCGTATTGGTAGGCAAGTAAAGCTTGTGTCTTGATAATCCATATGCGTAGAAAGAGAAGCTTTGGTTTGTCGAGAACATTATCTATGAAGTGCCCACTAAAGCTTGAACTGATAAGCCCGGGGAGTTTATGCAATTTTGAGTTGTAGGAAGACAAATCCGTCAAAATTTTCTTAATCCTCTTGTTTGTTTTTTTCAATGGGTAGATCCTGTTTTGTGGAACTAAAGCTACAGGTTTCATAAGAATCATAACATAAACGAGAAGAGAAAGTAATCTATGTGGTTGAGAACTTCAACAAAACTGCTTGTCGTTTATGCCTTGAGGGTGTTGTTTCTTCTTCAATGTGATGTTTATATCTGGAATTACTTAACAGTTTTCTTTTTCATTCACTCAAATTTGAAGATGAAATTTTTTAAAGGTTATTCTTTAAGTTTTTGGTTATTCTTTAAGTTTTTGAAATTCTTTTAACTTTTTTCGCACATGGATCACCATCATTAATAGATAGGTTGGAACAAGAATATTACCGGTATTGCATGATGATCTGGGTGTTTTTTTCCCTGGTATTTGGTTATGATTGGTATTTGTTCTGATTTGGTGAAAGATTGTTTCGAGCATTGTTAGTATTTGTTGATGATCTGGGTTTTTTTTTACTGATCTTTATCATGATTTGCTGACACTACCAAAATGCAGTTTCAGTTTTTTTAAACTGAAAATAATTTTTGAAAAAAAACTACTAAACGCATTTTCAGAAATGATTTCTGCCTGAAAATGAAAACGTTTTTATTTCCATTTTCATATAGAAAACAAAATCGTTTTGGAACAAATTTCAAACTCGCACAATAATTGTGAGTCATGATTATAATTTATTAATTCCATTAAACTTTTTTTTTATGTAGCATTAACATTTTATATGCTTTGGTTTTTGTTAAACCTAACTTGTTTTATGGTTTTGTTAATAGGTTGTTGGTTGGAGACTTATAAATGAAGATGGGGTTCTCAAACTACAATGCATGTGGAAGTTGAGAGATTATCAATGTGGTGTTGAACTTATCAATAGGATATATAAGGTTCTAGAGTCTACCGGGCATTTCCCAGACATCCACTTGGAACAAACCAATCAAATTAGAGCTGTACTTTGGACATCCTCCATTGGTAAAACTTCTCTCAACTTGCGAATTTGGTTCTCCTTAAACATAATTCATTTCTCTGCAAATTGGTTTTATGTTCCTTTTATTTTGTTTGTTGCAGGAGGATTGAGTATGAATGATTTCATTGTAGCAGCCAAACTTGATGAGATAAAAACATCAGATCTTGCCCCTAGAAAAAGAGTTTGGGCTTAGCTAAAACATGGCATTAAGTTGGGAAAGGAAATTTGTTAAGTGATTTTTTAAGTAATCGCCAAGATGATCTGTTGTTCCTGAAAGTCGAGCTACTCTTTTAAATTATTTCACTATTCTTTCTGAATCTAAAATCAGCCTTGTTCATATTGTCTAAAAAGTAGTGTTGTCACTTGTCAGCTTCATCTAATAAACAACATGTCGTTTACGTTAAAAACATGAAATCTTCCCAAAACGAGTTCTCTCTGATTTCTGGCAAAAAGATATTAAATAGATATGGAAAGACACGCTGTTTCTCGTTAAACATACACACTGGCTGTGGCCTATTGGTTCGATTCAAGCGACATCCAGCTACTTCAGTAAAAGAGAGGGCATGTCGTTCACAGGGTCGAATAAAGATATGGCTTTTAAAGACGAATATAAACGACATCTATGAGAGACAACTTAAACTTAAATGACAATTAACGAAGCGTAGAATATATCCTGGACACAAAGGAAATCTTATATAAAGACGTCGATTTATCCTTTAAAACATTTAATTTTCCAAGAACGAAAATGTCGTTAACCCCACTCGGCAAACACATCATGTCGTCTGGATCATGGAACGACAAGTTTTTTCTCGTATGACCAAAATGACATATAGGGAAACAAGGAGCCTGTTTGGTTAGAAGATTTGTTCTCTTATTCGAATTATAGCTCATGATTCGCTGCAGTATTTTCTTTCAAAAAAATACACGTAAATCAAAAATAATTCTAATCTCATAATTTTAATTTACGAACCAAACAGACTAAAGATGTCGTTTGTAAAAAAACGATATGCCGTTGCGCTTCCGACGAATGGTGTATTAATTAAAGGCCTTTTAGGTGCAAAAACGACAATTCTATACAGCCTTCTTAAACTATACGCCGCTAAGTCTAGTGACGTCTAAAAACTCCGGCTCGCCACTCGTCTCTCTGAAACTCGCCGGCGAACATGGAGAAGCTGAAATCGGCGATTCCCGAAACCCTAAAGCGCATGGTGGCCGACACCACTCCCGGCGATCTTCCCCGCACTTGTTCATCTCTTCTCGACTTCCTTCTTCATTTCCCGCCCTTTCACCACGTATCTAATGTGTCCTCTGCACACTTTTTCTTCCTCTTCGAGAACGAAATGATTTACCTTTTTCTTCAATAATTTCGCCATTTTCGTTGACTCGTAGATGGTGGAAGACTTGGCTGAATCGGAGAAGGCTCTGTGTGGCAAGAACGAGGACGAAGCTTTGCAATGGAAGCAGAAGGGAAATCGGTGCTTCGCGACTGGAGATTACTCCAATGCTTTGGCTTCTTATTCCCAGGTTCTTCTTCAGTTATCAGTTATCACAGTCTCACTAGTGAATGGAAATTAGTTAAATTTAAAGGATTATTTCAGTATATGACGTTCAAAATCAGTGCTTGAAGTTTCCATGAAAATAATAATTTATTTTTATTTATGGTTATTCATTTACTTAAACTAACGTTTCACAGGCATTGCGAGTTGCTCCTATGGATGCTGAGGACATGGATAAAAATCTAGTTGCCACTTTGTATCTGAATCGGGCTTTCGTTTTGCATGTGAGTGTATTTTTTTTTGCTTTTTTTAATTAACAAAATACAAAACTACGTAGATATGTATGCTTGTGTGTTTACATTAGTAAGTATATTAAGTTGTGAAGATTCATGTAGTTGAGTTGTATATATTATCAATGATCTAAACGAAAGCAACTACTTTATTCACTAAATGTCTAAATCCTATTTTCAAGTTTCTCAGAACAAGCAAGCTATTCCTACGGAAAATATGACTTTATACCTGAAAATAAACAAGTTTTGGAGTGAAATTTTATGCCTTTATCTTTTCAACATGCTGATTTTTGCGTTTGTTATGTGTTTTGCTTTAGAAAATGAATCTGCTAGCAGAATGCATACGAGACTGCAATCGCGCACTGCAAATTTCTCCAAGCTATTCGAAGGTGAATGCTCTTTCTAGTGGCAATTTAATTTCTTGAAAACGGGCACTTGTATCGTGCACTAGATTTATGTTAGTTCTTTGTTCTAATCTTGTTTCTACTTATCTCTAGACAGTTAGTTATCGTTTTTTGCAGGCATGGTATAGAAGAGGTATTGCTAATGCTTCTTTGGGAAATTACAAAGACGCTATCAATGACTTGAATGTGGCAAAGACTGTTGAGCTGTCATCAGGGGCGAAGAGCCAGATAGAAAGTGAGCTGAAGACACTTTCAGATGAATGTGGTAGAACGACAAATCCAGCACTTAAACATACTGTAAAGCAGTTCAATATTTTGGGTAAGATAGGTTTTATTATTGGATTCGTAATGGGTGTATGCTTTTTCAGTCGCTGTATGGTTTTCTTATATTTGAGGGCTACTTTCTAATGTTTGAATGCGGCAGCCAAAAAGGATCAAATAGCTGAAGCGGATCAAATAAAGCTACAATGTGTGAACACACCAGATAAAGCAAGGGGTATGGCTTCAACGAGTAACATTCCACCAGGCTCCTTAGTTCATACTGAAGAACCTTTTGCAACTGTATGAATAAACAACTCTCCAATCAGTTATATCCTAATTTGATTTAATCATTAAAGTTTTCTCTAGTGAACCTTAAATCCATGTAGTTGCTACCTAATTGGGCACGATAACATATTTGTCTGTCTTATTAAATTTGGGTTTAGAAATTTGTTTGGTCATCTACTGTCGTTTGTCACGTTTTTTTCAATAATAAGAGATATCGGCTTGACTTGGACCTACACTTTTGCAGGTAATATTGAAGAGTTGTCGGGAAACTCATTGCCATTACTGCTTGAATGAACTACCAGTTGATAAAGTTCCTTGTACTTCATGCTCGATACCCGTTTACTGCTCCTTGAATTGTCAACTACGTGCAGGAGGGAAATTGTTTAGTTTCCCAAAGAGTCATGGAATTCAAAAAGGTCTATCCAACAATCTTGAAAAGTATGTTGCAGAGATCACTTTAGGCGCAAACTCAGAAACAGACATTGAGCATATACCTGAACATAGACACGAATGTCATGGTGTATCATGGCCTTCAGTATTGCCATCAGAGATAGTTTTGGCTGGTCGAGCATTTGTGAAGTCCATAATGCAAAGAAGAGGTTCCCTGGAGATTGCTAATCTCATTGAAATTTTGGTACATTTCATAAGTCGGCACTATATTGAACAGTAACTAGTTCAGTTCAGTCAATTGTGTCACTGTTCTATGAATGGATTTGAATTGGAAGCTCGTGATCTCTATCATTTTCTGCAGGACCTTTCTCACCATTATTCTCAAATGTCTCCTGAAAGCAGATTGGAGGTACAAATATATTCCACCGTATTGTTATGTTGTCTGCAGCGCTCCAGTGACCTTGAAATTCAGATTAATGGGTTCTCTATAGCACAGGTCTCTCTCTCAGAATCAATAGTATTATTATCATGTTTCAACATCGTGTTGTTATTAGGAAAATCATTTTTTAACAGATATCTCTACATTTTTTTGTTGCCAAGATCATAATCATTTTTTATTTTTATTTTAATTGTTATCTATTTTAACATTCAATTATCTATATGGTTTCAGGTTGTCATTATTATATCTCAAATTAGGGTGAACTCTATGGCAATCACTCGTATCAAATCCATTGATGTTAATGGAATTGTAGATCAGTTTGGAAAATTTTCATCCGGAGCTCTAACTAGTAACGTGGAACAGGTCCACATTTCTGTTTCCTTTTGTTCCTCAACCACTTGATAAATTTGATAATACTTCTCCAACAATGAAATTTACTCTGTTGAGTACAACCTGTTAATACTTGTCTAACCATATTATAATCTGTTGATTAAGTATGATTTTCAGAAGCATGATACCTTTTGTGATATATGCATGGAAGCCTGATTTCACTTGTAGTTGAGAAAAGAATTATACCTTGTGTTTGTGGTAAAATTAGAGCTATGGTGATTTTCTTATTACTAGGACAAGGTGTATATGAGATAAATTTAGTGGAGGAAGAGGTCATATGGTATGTGGCTCCTGAGTCCATTATCCATGTACTATGAATAGCATTATCCGAGGCAATAAGAGCACAAGGGTCGGAGGATATACCTGATAAGGCCAGGTTACAAGTCCCTGCCACCATGGGTGATTGCTTATCTAGTGTCCCCAAGAAACTCCTCAATCTCTCAATATCTTCTTTGTTGAACTCCAGTGATGTTTCTGAGTTGTTGTTGCTATTGTCGGTAGTCTGTACTCTAGCCGTGTGAACTTGAATTTGTTGTCCTCTCCCTTGTCCATTTCTTCCTGTCCCATTCTTATTGGGAACTTGCGGCCTACCATGAAGTTTCCAGCACTTCTCTTTGGTGTGGCAAGCCTTTTTACAGTAAGTGCACCATAGGTTGTCTCTGTTAAAAGGCTTTGACTGATATGGCTGTTTATTTTCTACGGTAAGAGACTGTTCTAACATGACATTCTGTTAGGCCCATAATTACTTATGTTAGACGTGGGAATAAGAGGGCAGGGGCAGTTTAGTCTTTTGGGTGTTTTATGGATTTAGGGCTTTAGTATAAAGAGGACATTAGCAAGTAATTAGGTTTATGTTGAGTTTTGTCAAGTTATTAGGAGTAATTTGGAGTATTGGAGAGATTGACCTACCTTGTAGGTCAGAATTTGTATTTCCGTCGATTGAATAATAACAATAAGTCCTAATTCAGTCCTAATCCCAATTGATTCTTCTTTGAGTTCTATCAAATTGGTATCAGAGCAAATTCCTGGGACAATGGCAGCGAGGAAGGTGGACGCGCTAGAAGAGAAATTAGAAGCGGAGGTTGGATCGCTCAAGACCACCATCGACGAGCGATTCAACACCGTCCAACAACAATTTGCGTCTCTTGAAGCCATGTTGCTGAAATTAACGGAGCTCCACCTCAACCCACCACCGGTAGCAGCGGCGAGCCACGGCGGCGCGGCAGGAGAAGGGTCCGGTGGTACGGAACCCGAGGTCGGCGACGGCGCAGAGGGAGGAGGGTTGGAATCCGCCCGTTTGGCCGGCCAGAGGCGGCGGGACGCGGCCGATTTGCTGGGGGCGAGGGGGGGCCAGGCGAGGCGGCCTAGGGTTTGGGGCGCCGGGATTTGGTGTTGGCGCCGCCATGGGGCGCGCCAGGGCTGGGGATGGCTGGGCACGATGTTTCAGCGCCGTGGTGGGGAGATCCGGGACCTGGGCAGGTCGGATCTGGGGCTGGGCACGCTGGGCAGGCCGGATTTGGGGCTGGGCAGGGCGGATCCGGACCCGGGCAGGGTGGATTTGGGGGCATACGGCCGGGAGGAGGAATTTCCGGGGAGAGGGGGAGTGGGTATGACGGAATCGCGGCTGGGCAAGGTGGAATTGGGGCTGGGTCTGCCGGATTTATGGAGAATGGAGGAGAATCGGGAGGATGGAGGCCTCCAATGGCGCGAAATTGGACTGGGCATACCCAATTTGGGGCGGATTCTAGGGTACGGAAGTTGAAAATGCCCATTTTCGAGGGCGAGGATGCCTATGGATGAGTGTATAGGGTAGAATGCTATTTCGCCATCGATGGACTCTCAGAGAGGGAAAAACTGATGGCGGCAGCTTTATGTTTGGAGGGAAAGGCCCTTGTGTGGTTTCAATGGGGAGAACAACGGCAACCATTGAGAACTTGGGGTGAATTTAAGGACCGGCTGCTGCAGCGATTTCAAGCCACTCAAGAGGGAGATCTACATAAACAGTTTTTTGCCCTGATCCAGGATAAGACAGTCATGGAGTATAGGGAGAAGTTCGAGCTGCTATCGGGTCGCTTAGGGGAAATCTCATAAGCGGTGTTGGAAGGGAATTTTATGAAGGGACTGAAGCCGGAGATCCGAGCGGCGCTACGTTTGCTGAGACCGAGAGGGTTAGGAGAGACGATGGAGTTGGCATAGATGATTGAGGATAAGAATGCAATGGTGCGGGTCAATAGGAGCAACACAGTCGGCTTTTCATACCAAAACAGCGCACCACCAGGAGGGCAGAAAACTTAGACGTTGGGATTACAAAGAGAAACCCAAAAGGATCGGGATAGTGGGGTACGTCCGGGAGTGACTTTCAAGCGCCTCACTGAGACAGAGATTCAGGACAAGAGGGCGAAGGGGTTGTGCTTTCAATGCGATGAGAAATTTTCCCCAGGGCACCAATGTAAGGACCGATCACTACAAGTCCTGACTGTGTGTGATGACGAGGAAGGCGGGGAAGCAGCTGAAGAAGAAGAGTTGATGGAGGAAGAACACCTGCATTTAGATGTGGCTGAGGTGTCGCTCAATTCAGTGGTGGGGTTCACGCCGAGCCATTCCATGAAGATTAAGGGTAGGATTGGAGAGCAAGATGTGGTAGTGTTAGTTGACAGTGGGGCCACACACAATTTCATTTCCAACCGCGTGGTGGAAAAGATAGGGCTCTAGTTGACTGACACTGGGAGTTTGGGGTGACCTTGGTAACCGGAGTGTTAGAAACGAGCCGAGGAATCTGCAAAGGGGTGATTTTGTTGCTCCAGGGAATTCAAGTGTTAGACGATTTCCTACCCCTGGATTTGGGAAGCACATACGTGATTTTGGGTATGAAGTGGCTTCAAATGTTGGGAGCGATGAAGGTGAATTGGAAGCTGTTGAGTATGGAGTTTCAGGTGGGAAACCAACCAGTAATTCTGAGAGGCGATCCGAGTCTGTGCCGAGCCTTGGTGTCACTGAAAACCATGGTGAAGGCGATTAAGGATGAGGGGGGAGGATTCTTGGTGGAGTTGCAGAGTCTTGAGGGAAGGCAGCCAGAGACGGCTGAGGAGGTACCGGAACCAATACAGGAGCTCCTAGACCAATTTGAGGGGGTGTTTCAAATGCCACAGGGTCTTCCTCCACAGCGGGGCCATGAACACGCTATAGTCTTGAAAGAGGAAACTCTTCCTATCAGTATCAGGCCGTGCAGGTACCCACAGATTCAGAAGGATGTAATAGAGAGGGTTAGGGAGATGTTGGACACATGCATTATACAACCCAGTGTGAGTCCATTTTCAAGCCCAATTCTGTTGGTCAAGAAGAAAGATAGAAGTTGGCAGTTGCCACCCTCTACAACGATTCATCCAGTTTTTCATGTATCTCAGTTGCATCGGGCGATCGGCGAACATACATCATCTTCTTCATTACCACCAACATTGACAGAGGATATGGAAGTGGTGATGGAACCGTCCGCTTTAGAAGGCGTGCGTTAGGGAGCAACAGGTCATAAGGAGGTGCTGATTAGATGGAAGAACTTGCCAGATTACGAGGCAACATGGGAGCCATTTGAAGTAATTCAACAGCAATTTCTTGAATTCCACCTTGGGGACAAGGTGTCTTTTTGGGAGGGGAGTAATGTTAGGCCTATAATTACTTATGTTAGACGTGGGAATAAGAGGGCAGGGGCAGTTTAGTCTTTTGGGTGTTTTATGGATTTAGGGCTTTAGTATAAAGAGGGCATTAGCAAGTAATTAGGTTTATGTTGAGTTTTATCAAGTTATTAGGAGTAATTAGGAGTATTGGAGAGATTGACCTACCTCTCGAATTGTAGGTCAGAATTTGTATTTCCGTCGATTGAATAATAACAATAAGTCCTAATTCAGCCCTAATCCCAATTGATTCTTCTCTGAGTCCTATCACATTCTTCTCACTTGTTCTTGTCACCAATGCAGAGCTCTCAACATAAGCATTTTCAATCATGACTCATCTCCTTCTTTCTTCGGCCCGGATTATAGATATTGTCTCATTAAGAGATGGCAAATCCTCCTTGCCAAGAACTTGAACTCTCACTGCATCAAATTCCATATTAAGACCTGTCAAGAAATCATAAATTCTGTCTTTTTCAACGAACCTTTTAAGAGTGGCTACATCCTCTATGCACTTCATTTGGATGCATCGATAATGATCCATTTCTTGCCAAAGGCTTTGCAATAGACTAGAATATTCAGTAACCGTTCAGCTTCCCTATTTTGTTGCAGCAATTTTAGTTTTGATCTCATAGATTTGTGCAGCATCTCGAACCTTTGAGTACGTTTGTGCGACTGCATCCCAAATCTCCTTAGCGCTATTAAGAAACATGCAGGTATCGCTAATCTCTGGAGACATAGAGTTCCAAAGCCAAGACATCACCATCGAATCTTCTTCATCCCACGCATCGAACTTCGGATCTCTCCTTTTTGGACCGGTACCAAGCAAGTGGCTCAGCTTTCCTTTGCCCTTTAAGTGTGTCCGCACCAGTTGAGACCACCTCAAATAGTACCTTCCATTCGGCTTGTACACTGCCTGAATATTAGGCAGTTCTCGGACATCATAGCGGCTGTCTTCGGTTGGCTGAACCCCGATTACTTGAGATTCATATGTATGACTATCTCCAGCGTTTTTTGACATGATTCAAGCGGAATGAAGAGAAGAAAGACAACAAGAAAGAATGCTAGAAAAAAACTTGCAATAGGGTCAAGACAGTGAATCGATTGACAAAAGGAATAAATTATGGAACGAGAACCAGGATCGATTGACAAAGGAATAAATTATGGAATGAAAACCAAAATCGACTGACAAAGGAATAAATTCTGGAATGAGAACCATAATCGTTTGACAAAGGAATAAATTATGGAATGAGAACCAGAAAAACACAACAAGGATCGATAAACAGAAGCTATGAAATCCCTAGGAAA